AGGGAGCAGGTGGGGGCGTGGAGGGGTGGAGAATTTCCACCTCGCGCACCTCTGCTGGCCTTTCAACTGTCGTCATTCCTGCTAAAGCTGATACTGGTGCTGCTGCTGGTACTGGTGGTGGTGCTGCTGTTGCTACTGGTGCTGCCGATGGTACTGGTGGTGGTGGTGGTGCTGCTGCTGCTGCTACTGGCGCTGCTGCCTCTGCTGGTGCTGCTGCTGGTGCTGCTGCCGCCGCTGCTGCCCCTGCTGCTGCTGAAATTGGTGTTGCTGCGCCTGATGCAGGTCCTGCACCCAGCACCACTGGTGCTCTAACCTGTGCTGCGCCCTGTCTTGTCGTTGCTGTTGCAGTAGCAACGCCATGCCCTCTGACCCCATCGGCTAAAGCTGCTACTTCAACCCATGTCACCACACCACCCTTGCTCACTCCATACCCCTCTGCACACCCCTCTGGGACATTCTCCTTACCCTGCAGCCTTCTCCTCTTGAAGGGGCTGCTCTTAGCGAAGCGCCTCGCCATTCCAGCTCCCTCACCTCGCCCAAGCAAATCCTTGCCTCTGTCGTCTGCCGAACCTGCCACGGAACCACTGTTTTCCCTCAGCCCGCTGCTTCCCGCACCACCACCCCACCCTCTCCCAACATCTTCCATAACATTTTCTCTTGACATGAGAACCCTGGCTTCTGCCTGTGGCATGACAAGCGGTTTCTCTTCTTCCTGCTTAATCGCTGCTTCAGTCCGCACCCCTTCCTCTGCTGTGCCTGCCTTGCAGTCGCCCACTGAGAAAAGAGCCGGCGGTGCCACCAGGGGAAAAACAGCCGGTTCGTCTGGGGGAAGAGGAGGCGGGGGTGGGGGCCCTGGGAGGGTTGATGGGTGGTGTGGTGATGGTGGAGCGATGGTGATTGGTAGGGTGACATTGGGAGGTGTATGGGCAGGCTGGGAAGGGGCAGGTGGCAGTGGTGGCGCAACGGACGGGAGGGCACGCAGCAGCGTGTCATGTGATGGTGCAGGTGGTAGGGTGTCATGTGATGGTGCAGGTGGTAGGGTGTCAGGTGATGGTGCAGGTGGTAAGGTGTCATGTGATGGTGCAGGTGGTAAGGTGGGTGTGGTGATCAGAGGAGCACGTGGTGGTGGCGGGAAGAGACACGGAGGGCCCACTGCATCGCCCCTGGGGGAAGGAGGGAGGGAGTCAGCCGGGGAAGGGTAGGGAAGGGAAGAAAACGGAAGGGAGAGAAGAGAACGGAACGGAAGGGAATGGAACGGCAGGGGAGGGAAGAAAACGGACGGGAAAAGAAGGGAAGGGAAGGGAAGGGAAGGGAAGGGAAGGGAAGGGAATTGAATGGAAGGGAAGGAAAGGTAAGGTGATACTGCGATAACATTCACAGAATGAGACGTACAACAAATGCAGGTGAATAAAAGCGACTCAGCTGCAAATGGTGAAGTGAAAGCGCCCTACCAAAGTCCTCCAGGCGCAAATAGAAACAAAATCAGGCATAACAAGCCTCGGGGGTGCTCCAAACATGCACCACGTAAGGGAGGAGGGTGTAAGGAGCTTCAGGGACGCGCTGGGAGTAGAGCAAACAGTCCTCGAGCCACCGGTGGTTTACCACCCACACTGCGCCCTCGCTGTCCCCCCTGTGCCCCCTCGAGGTATAAACAGAATATTGAAAGACAGCACACGTACGGGTGGAGGCTGTAAGGAGCTTCAGGAACACGTCGTGCGTACAGCAGACAGTCCTCGAGCCACCGGTGGTTAACCACCCACACTGCGCCCTCGCTGTCCCCCCTGTGCCTCCATGCCACGCCCTCGTTATAGTCACAGACGCAATGGTTGCCGTCAGCATGGCAGCGCAAGGCATGGAGAGTTGCGTTGCTGCGAACAGCCAGGTCGTACTTGGGCCCTTCAAACCGATTGCACACCTGCAGGCACGCATGCATGCACGCACGCAGGCAGGCACGCAGGCAGGCACGCAGGCAGGCACGCAGGCAGGCACGCAGGCAGGCACGCAGGCAGGCACGCAGGCAGGCAGAGTGGTGGGGCGGGATGAGAAACGGAACTCTGCAAATACCTGCAACACTATGAACCAGGGAGCACATGCTGGCAGGGCGCTTAAGTTACCAGGTGAGACGTCTCCATTTGAGTTGAAGGTTGCAGCATAACGTACCAGGTGTGTGTTGTTATTTGGGGAGAAGTCACGTGTGAGCCGTGCCCCTGTGGCTTGAATCATGAGCTTCACAGACGACCGCGCGAGTCTTTCGTACCCTGTCAGACTCACCACCACCTCCTCCATACCCGCCTCCCGCTCCTCCTCCTCCTCTTCCTCCTCCTCCTTCTCCTCTTCATCTCTTTCCTCTTCCTCTTCTTCTTCCTCATCCTCCTGCCACTCGTCTTCCTGCTCTTCCGAATCCAATACAAACCTCCTTGCCCTCCTCTTAACTCTCATTCGACGTTTCCCTCTCACCCCTACTGCTCCCAGGAACAACGCATCCCTCGTTGCTACCTCCCTCGGTCTCTTCACCTCGACGCCCTCCACTCCCATCGCCTGTCCCCTCATCCCCATCTCCTCACTCCCTCCCGCCCCACCATGCCTCTCTTCGAGCATCTGAGCTTCCTCTCTCAGGTCGCCCTCACGCACATCACTTCCCACCCTCCCTCCCTCCCTCACGGAATCCACTGTATCAACGACTCTTCCATGTGCTTGCCTTCCCGCCTCATCGCTCCCCTCCCCATGCCCCAGCTCCGCTGCCAACCTCCCACTCTCCCTCATCTTCTCCTCACAAGAGTCGCTGCTTCTGCCTTCTCCCCTTGTGACCTGAGATCCCCCTTCTGCTGCTCCTCCCGCTACCTCTTCTCCCTCTGCCTCTCCTCTCCTCGCATCACGAACCGTCTGCTTGGCCTCGCTACTGCCACAGCCAGGTATAATCACGCTGACAAGGCACTTAGGGCTTGCAGCCAGGAAAAACTGGTCACCATGAGACAGGCAGACGGAGTCGCCCTTAGCCAGCACCAACACTGATGAGGAATTTCTCCTGACGCGGCCAGTACGTGATAGTGAGCTCTCCCCTGCTGCTCCAGTTCCCGGTCCTGATACCACTCCTACTGCTTCTACTGATCCTAGCTTCCCTGCTGTTGCTGATGCACCTGCTGCTGTTTCCGTAGCTCTAGGCAGAAGAGAGTCCGGCCTGCGGCATTTTTTGAAACAAATGCGGTTGACTCCGAAACACGTCATCCTCGCTGTCACAGCTGGAAATTGCTGCTTATCTTGATCGCCAGGGAAAGCTACCGCAGCAGCAGCAACAGCAGTGCAGTGATCGCCACGGGTGGGAAGGTGGCCTGAACCTGGACTGGCGATGCGAATCTCCGCTTGCCTCCGACTGCAGCAGACAATAGATTTCGGATCAATGGGAAACGTCGCTCGACCTAGCATCGTAACAGCGTCGCGTATTTCCTGCCAGAAAAACCGGATGAAAATCGGCGGAGGTGAGATGAGCAAATCATATTATTACCTCGTTGGATGATAGCGACCCGAAGTGAATATGAGGGCCAGGTAGTCTTGAAACCTTACAGCGGAAAACAACAATCCGTTATTCCTGAAAGAGAAACTCAAACTAACCTTGCGCTCGCCATTGGGAAACTGTAAAATGAGGTACGGAGGACGCTGTGCCATAAGAGCCGCCAAAAGATTAATCAATCTGACACGCTGAAGTCACTGCTGAGAAATAATAAATAATGAAAGAATGGCTACTAAACTTTGAATAGAAACGCAAACAGAAAAGTAGTCGCGATGTGCGCGGGACCATCTGGCCTACAGATGCTAGGTCTAGGTCATCGCGTCAGATGTACGACTGTGACAAAACCAATAATGGGCCATGGCGTCAGTGTCACGCTCCAGGTGAGGTACGAACTTGGAGGACAAAGTTCGCTTTTAATCAGGTGCCTCGCGGTTTTGCTCGGTCCGAATTGTTCGAAAGCGATAACTCGGTAATATCGTGGTTTCCGTCAGCAACTGAACTGCGTGGAACGAACAATCTCAGATGCAGAGCAGAACCCCTAGCGGTGAAATTGCCGCGTTACGTGAATGGGATGGGGTCGTATGATCCTATGATCGTACGGCATGGATGGCGTGATGGCATCAAGTTCTAGGGAAAATATGCCACAAATAACGAACATGGGACTCGATAATGTGACTGATAACAAATAAACGCGTACGGTAACTGTATCGGGTTTCCTGACGGGTCTGGTAAGGGGGGTCACGGATTCAGTCAATAGGTAAAAAATCACACGAATGGTCACACATGAAACTCCCGCCAAAAAATAATGAAGCTCTACAACATTCCCGCTCGCCCCCAGCTAATCAGCGAATTAAAAAAATATATATATATAAAACCCAATCGGAATTGAATGCGAATCGTGAACGGATCGGCCCTAAACACCTGGCGAATTGTGTTTAGGGTTGATTCATCCGAATATGCATCCAGGTTCGTTTTGGGTATTATCTTTTTTGGGCGGGAGTCTCATCTATGACCATTCGCGTTATTTTTTCCCAGTTGATTGTGACTGATTTCGTGAAACGTTTTATCAACCGCGTGAAAACACCCGCTACAGTGACCGTACTCTTTATTTTTGTAACAAAAATGTTATCGAGTCCCATACTGGTTACGAATGACATATTACCCCCTAGTTCAGACGTGGTTCACAACAAACAACCCGACGCGAGAACCTGCGCGCCAGATTCTGCCCGCGCAGAACTAAGTTGAAGTGGAGCAGCCAATCGGCAGCTCGAAGTTCCATCCCCAACAGTCCTGAGAGCATCGTTTAAGGTCATGTGAGCATCGTCACCGTTGTTGAATCTATCCGTCACAGCCTCCGAAACGTCCGATACGGAGGTGATCTGGAACCTGCTGATAGACTTCGAACTACGTTGTGCAACTCTCTGAAATTCCAATGATGATTCAGCAAATTACACGTATGTGCATAATTCCAACTCATTCAAAAAATCCCGATTTACAAATGAAGTGACAGGTCTAGCTGATCTTGAGCTTTGAGCTCCTCCCTAGATTCGACAGTGGGAACCAAATGAGCAGGCACGGAAGCACCTTCCTTAGCTTCACCCATCCTAGACTTCCTTGCCTGGATCTCAGCATCCACATAAGCAAGCACAGCTTCAATGTTGTTCCTGGACCGAGTCAGGCCCATCAAACCAGCAACAGGGCCCACGCCTTGTGCAGCACCAGCACCAGGCAACACTTGCCTAGATCCCACTCTTGGCATAACCTGGGCTAGGAGCTGCATTGCAGCTGCCACCACAACAGCAGGGGGCTGCTGTTGCTGCTGCTGTTGCACCCCTGCTGGGGAGTCCGGACCTTGCGAAGGCACTGTGCGCCCTTCCGAACCTGCAGGTACGGATAGAATAGCCAGACGAGCCGGTACAGCAGGGGCGGCAGGCACGTGCTCATCTGCATGCTCTTCCAAGTCGTCCTTAGGCACTGGTTGCACGAAGCGCGTCTCCTTAGAGAACATCCAATCCAGGGCCGGCATGGCTCCAGGGCCGGCGGCACCCTTGGACGGCGGCGGCGCCATGAAGATGCCACTTGGTACAGCTTGATTGGTCGCAGCGGCCGCGACGGCTGCTTGGTTACCGTCTTCTGTGACTGAAGAACCCCCCGCACGGACCAGAGGCTTCGGCGAAGATTCGTGAGTACGAGTCTTTGTATGCTTCCCACCTCGCTGGGGCCAGCTCGAGGCATCTCCGTTAAAGTCGCTCTCGTTTTCGTCACCCGAATGGCCGTCCGTGTGTCGATGTGTATCGACATCCTCCGTGCGCTGCCGATGGGTCTCGTTCGCCGTCACAGCGAACAGCCGCGATTGGTCGCACGCGGAACCGTCCATCCCCGCGAAATCCACGTCCGACGTGCAGAATTGACGGCTAGCGGCTCCGGAGGCCACACGATCCGCGATCTTGTCGGCACCGGTCGGCATTTGTCGAGCCGCATCCATGGCTGCCGCGGCGGTCACGCCGTGGTTTCCCGCGCTCAGATGCGCGAGCGCAGGCGGTGCAGCGCACATTGCGGCGGGGAATCCGCCGATCTGGTTGGCTCCCAGCATCCCCAGTTGTTGCAACGCCATCTGTTGCTGCAGAAGCATAAGCGCTCCTTGCGGCGACATTTGCGGCGCCATTTGCGAGGCGATCTGGCGGAGGAGAATATCGCGTTCCGCCAGCGCAGCGGCTTTCGCCGCCTTCGCCGCTTCCTCCGCCGCAAGAGCCGCGGCGGCGCGGTCTTTGTACGAAGGCCGGCCACGCTTACGCGGGCGCAGCGTCTTGCTATCGTCCTTGGCGCTTCGCTTCGATCCGCGGCTCGAGAGCGAAGTCTGCGGGCCCGCGCTGACGGAGGCGTTGGCGATCTGAGTCGCCGCCAGCGCGCGAAGGAGCTGAAGCTGCGGGAGGGAAGTCGGCCCGCTCTGTGCTGCTGCGATGCCGTTCGGAATCATAGCGACCTGATTAGCGGCGAGGTTCATCATAGTAGCGGCGTTTGCGGCGCCCAAGGGGAGTTGAAGTCCCGAGGAGGGCCAGCCCGTGGCGAAAAGAGGCGCAAAGGCGTTGTTGTTATTGACGGTCGTGGGAAGGCCGGTCGAGAGGAGAGACGCTAAAGCGCGCTGGCGCTGCTGCATCACTAATAAGAGCTCTTGCTGCGATGTTGACATGGTAAGCGATATTTCTGAAAGTGAAAAAAGAGGTTCCGAAAGTGGACGTGTCCAGGAACATCTAAGACAAGGAATGCAAATCTGATGCAAATGGTGTTGCTGGAGGAACTAAAAAAGAAAGACTTCTTTGTGCGAAGAGGAATTCGTGAGAGAGGACGAGAGAATCGAGTTGTACAAATCGTGCTCGACAATCAACTTGTTAGTTCATCGTTATGCCTCATCAGCTTTATCCTCTGGTCTCTCTCCACTCCACCCGCCTGTAATTCCGTCTCATCTCGGTATTGGTTGGTTTGTTCCATGTTGTCTGCCAATCCCTATCACCACCAGCCCACCGTGCGGAGCCATGCCTAGTTGGCGCACGCGATGGCGGTGACCCTTGTTCCCCGCCCACCTCTTCACGTGGGGCCACCACATTGTTGAGGTGTGGGTTGATGCTGTGCACTGTACATGGTGTCCCGCATGCTTCCAGCTGCTTTCTCACTGGACCATTCTAGAAGGCCGACGTGATCGGAGTTCCTGCCCCGCCCAGGCAGTTATTACGCTGGTTGCAGTGCATGTGCGCACCGCTCAATTCAACCAGCTAGACTTGTCGCATCAGCTGGAGCAGCAACACCTCCCTATGACAGACGTGCACTTTTCAGTTTCCAGACAGTTTTGCCTTTTCTGATTGTAAGGGGGAAAACCTTTTGACACATGTTTGGATTCAAATAAAAATCGTGAAATCTGACACTGAGAGAGCCGTCTACATACATTAACGAATGAAAAAAGACTACAAAGCTCTCCCTGGTCTGGCAAAATATGTTTCGGCACTGGAGAGAGCAACATTAACTTGACGCGTGCGTAGTCACGACTCGGAGGTCAGGACTGTCACGTGATTCAGCGTTACTAAGCGGCATGTGACGCTTGGATGAAATCTTCCAAAGGTTCTAATCTGCTAATCACCAATGAGAGGAGAGAGAACTGCTGCTTTACTGGTGGAACACGGGTGAAACAGCAAACCTGCCTCTCACGTGTTCAATTACGCTGTAGCAGTTTCGTTTTCCTGCGTAGAATACTATTATCCTTCACTGCCTAACTTTTCCTTGGGCTGTTGAAAATGGTTATGTTAAAACGGGAAAATCTGAGTGTAGTTGAGTGTCACCAAACTATTATTATATCGATGGTTTCCTCTAGGGCAGAAAACATATCAGAACCAGCATCTGCCTTTTCCTAACATCTGCCTACTTGCCAGCGTGACAGAATCATATGAGGTAAATGCTGCTTCACGTTTGTAATGATTAAGGGTGAGCGTCCTTTTTGTCTCGTACTGCAATCGATCCCAACTCTCAGGAGCACTCGCACATTGCTGTTATGTGACAACTGACCCATAGGTTTCCCGTTATGGGACAACAAATCGTTGGGAGATGCCCAAGAAGCTTGTAAACATCTGTCGCAACATTATCCTTATGCGGTGTAGGCATCCGCAAAATACACCCTGTTTCTCGCTACACTGAACTGTGCCGAACAGGTGCAAAACCTTGTTATCTTCGATTTGCCTAATTGAACCATACTAAAACAAAATTGAACCACCGTGAACCATGCTTTTCCCATCTTGACTTCATTATAACCGAATTCACAAATGGCGAGAAAGAGGGTGTAATGTTTTTTTCCAACCCCTAGTTTCCTTGAGCGCGTGAAGCTTTGTGCAAGAATGGGATGTTGTTATGGACGCGTCGCATTGCATGAACCGATGTGGTCTTCGGTTCTCCCTGAACTGAAGCCAATCAACGTGGACAGGACAGTGCTTCCCATTTTCTGCGAGACAACCAATCCGTGTCCCGAGAAACGTGTGTTGGTTCTACGCAGAAATTCGGGGGTTTGAGCTTGAGCTTTTCCACTTGAGGGAGCCATCGGTGAGATTCCCGATCAACATCCTATCTTCGCCGTCAAAATCCTCGTTGGAGGATTCTTCAAGTTTGGACTCGGTAATTTTAGCCAAAATAACACAAATTAACATTGTCATCTTTGAGCTCCCATGCAGTCTTTCAAAGTAAATTAATGCGCACCTGCATGATCCGAGGAGATAACAACACCACATGTCGATAGAAAACAACCATACCATTGTGTTAAGGTCAACATGTCATTATCAATGCTCACGTGCATGATAGTGAAATATACCGTATACCTAATTGCACTCACATAAGGAATGCTAATTCGAAATAGACTATTGGGGTCTTCGAATACCCTTTTTATGCGGTTTGACATAATATAGATACTACGAATAGTAATACTTGAATATTACTGTGCACTCCCCACCGCAACAAAAAGAAACACGCAGTATCGCGAATGAACGTGAAGCGTCAGACGGTTGGAACGCATCTGGACCGTCGGAGCAGACAGCATCATGCAGCTGTAGGCAGGATGGTTTCGGCGGGAACAGTTTCGCAACTGTTCGCGCCGCACAGTTGGTAATGTATTTGAATAAAGGAATGTATCCCTTAGAATACATGGCTAGCTAGGTCGATTCATATTCCCCCGTACTCTTATTTATATCGTTGTATTTGCATGTCTTAATCATCTCAAGCATTTGCATTCACTCTGCTATTGAGGTCAAGGGCCCACCAACACCACTTCTCTGCGTGCGAACCTTCCTATGTAGATACTGGGCCACGATCAACTTCTGATCGCAACAATAGATGTCTCATTTCATATCATTTAACGTGCTGCATCAATCTGAGGGGCCTGGAGGTCGTTTGGGTGGAGCGGAAGGATATCGAGCAGGATTTTGGATGGCACGCTCCATAAGTGAATGCACTACCTGGTGGATATGCAGGTGTTGAGGCAGGGTAGGGTGTTAGGGAAATTTAATTGTAGTATGCTTGTCGTAGTGGTATAGCATTTTATTGTGCCATCCCATTCCATCAGACCAGACACTCACTCTCTCCTTCATCAACCACACCCTTTACCTCTCCTCCCTTATTGTGTCTAGCTACATTTTGTATACAGGTTTATTATATAGTTAGTAAATCAGGGTCAGAAGCAAAAACGCATCCTAAGTTGATACAGAGTACAACTCGAGCAGGATCACTGAGGCTAGGGACATATTGCGCTTACTGAAGGCTGAACTTACTGTTGAAGAATTGAATTCAGTGTTTTAGGGTGTCTGTCAACCTTGGCTATGGTGTGATTCGCAGCTGCGGCGAGTGCAAAGCAGCAGACTCGCGGCTCAGCGCGTCTTGTTCCAGTACCACTCTATATACTGGTGACTTTCAAGTAAGTCTGGTGACCTTCAAGTAAGTCACTTAAGTTCCATTTCCACGCTTTCCGTTCTGGTACAATGAGACGGAACGAAGATAGTAAATACTGTTCCTGATCTACCAATACGATGGGACGTTATGGGGATGGAGGGGATGGGGTGGGAAAGGAAGGGGAGGGAAAGGAAGTGAAGGAGAGGGGAGAGGGCACGGCGGAGGTGAGAGAAGGGGGGATGCGGGAAGAGGAGGAGCGAAAGAGGAAGCAGGAAGAAAAGTGTCGAGGGGCGATGGGAGCAATGGGAGCAGCGGGAGCAGCGGGAGCAGCGGGGGCAGCGGGAGCAGCGGGGGCAGCGGGAGCAGCGGGGGCAGCGGGAGCAGCGGAGGCGACAAGAGTGATCGCAGAGGCAGGGATTCTTGCGCCAAGTGGCCGCGATTCGCGGAGGAAGTCTAGGGCGGGTGGGGATGAGGAGGAGGAGAGAGAGGGGACTTTTGAGTCGACTCAGGAGGCAAGGGTTGCGGGGCCAGTTGGCCGTGATTCGCGGAGGAAGTCTAGGGCGGATGGGGATGAGGAGGAGGAGGAGGAGAGAGAGGGGGAGACGGACGAACGGGGTAAGGGTCGGAGGGAGGAGCGGAGTGGGGAGGATGGAGCAGCGGGGGGGACGAGCATGGAAGAGGGGCGGGACGAGCGGGGGAAGGGAGTGAAGGGGGAGCGGAGGGGGGAGGAAGGAGTAGCGGGGAAGATGGGAAAGGAAGAGGGGAGGGGAGATATTCCCACCACTGAAAGGGTTACCAAGCAGGTGGTGCTTCATTCAACTGCGAAGGCGAAGGAGGGTGAGCAGGGGAAGGAGTGTGAGAAGGGGAAGGAGTGTGAGAAGGGGAAGGAGTGTGAGAAGGGGAAGGAGTGTGAGAAGGGGAAGGAGTGTGAGAAGGGGAAGGGGGGTAAGGGGAAGGAGGGTGAAAAGGGCAAGGAGTGGGAGGAGGGGAAGGAGAGCGAGAAGGGGAGGGAATGGGGGAAGGGGAAGGAGGGTGAGAAGGGGAAGGAAGGTGAGAAGGGGAAGGTGGGTGAGAACGGGAAGGAGGGTGGGAAGGAGGGGAAGGAGGGTGGGAAGGAGGGGAAGGAGGGTGGGAAGGAGGGGAAGGAGGGTGGGAAGGAGGGGAAGGAGGGTGGGAAGGAGGGGAAGGAGGGTGGGAAGGAGGGGAAGGAGGGTGGGAAGGAGGGGAAGGAGGGTGGGAAGGAGGGGAAGGAGGGTGGGAAGGAGGGGAAGGAGGGTGGGAAGGAGGGGAAGGAGGGTGGGAAGGAGGGGAAGGAGGGTGGGAAGGAAGGGAAGGAGGGTGGGAAGGAGGGGAAGGAGGGTGGGAAGGAGGGGAAGGAGGGTGAGAAGGAGGGGAAGGAGGGTGGGAAGGAGGGGAAGGAGGGTGGGAAGGAAGGGAAGGAGGGTGGGAAGGAGGGGAAGGAGGGTGGGAAGGAGGGGAAGGAGGGTGAGAAGGAGGGGAAGGAGGGTGAGGAGTCAAGCGAGGCAGTGAAAACTGTTTCTTCCGTGCCAATCGCTCCTCCTGTTGCATCAGTTAGAGCTGCATCAGGCTCAACAGGCTTAGCTGTAGCAGGCACAGACGCAGCAGCAGCAGTTACAGCGTCAGTTGCACGTCAGCAAGAAATGCAGCAGCAAGGGAAAAAGCAAGAAGAGCAGCAGCAGGAGAAGCAGCAGCAAGAGATGCGTCAAGAGAAGCAGCAAGAGAAGCAGCAGCAAGTGAAGCGGCAGCAAGTGAAGCAGCAGCAAGTGAAGCAGCAGCAAGTGAAGCAGCAGCAAAAGAAGCAGCAGCAAGAGAAGCAGCAAGAGAAGCAGCAAGAGAAGCAGCAAGAGAATCAGCAAGTGCAGCAAACGTCAGAAAATCAGGATGTGGTAACAGGCACCAGCCAACGCTCTATGGGTCCACCTCATCCTACCGTGCTGAACCAGGCCCAACCACTCTCTACCCCTCCATTACCTGCCGCACCTAACCAGCCACCCAAACTCCCCGCCAGTTCCCCGCCTGCCTCACCTAGCCATTCTCCACCACTCTCTACCCCTCCCCTACCTGCCATCCCACCACAAGCACAACCAGTGCATGTGGACAGAGAGAGAGAGCACGGGGAGCCGTGGGGCGGAGTGGGGAAGGTTCAGTTCAAACCAGAGAGAGGGAGTGAGAAGGGAGAGGCACAGGAGGGAGTGGGGAAGGTAGGGTGCGAACCAGAGAAAGAGGGTGAGAAGGGAGAAGCACAGGAGGGAGTGGGGAAGGTAGGGTGCGAACCAGAGAAAGAGGGTGAGAAGGGAGAAGCACAGGAGGGAGTGGGGAAGGTAGGGTGCGAACCAGAGAAAGAGGGTGAGAAGGGAGAAGCACAGGAGGGAGTGGGGAAGGTAGGGTGCGAACCAGAGAAAGAGGGTGAGAAGGGAGAAGCACAGGAGGGAGTGGGGAAGGTAGGGTGCGAACCAGAGAAAGAGGGCGAGAAGGGAGAAGCACAGGAGGGAATGGGGAAGTTGCGTGCAGAGCCAGAGGCAGAGGCAAAGGTGAAGAGGAAGAAGCTGAAGCGGTTGAGTAGCATACATGTGACGCAAGGGGGTGGGGAGGAGAAGGAACCGGGTTCATGCCGAGAAGGGATTGACGGGAGGGGCGTGGGCAGCAACAGCAGGCGCTCTGGCGCCTCAGGGAGTGATGGGGAAAGGAAAGGAGCCGTAGAGATTGGCGGGGTTACTGGGCCTGATGTGGTTGCCAGGATTGATGGGGAAAGAACCGGTGCTAGTGAGAGGGATGCGTCTGGGGAAGGGAGTGAGAAGGAAGGAGGATCGGAGTGCGTGGGTGTGCGAGGGAGGGACGACGAGGGAGAGGCGAGACGACGTGGTGAGTTGGAGGGGGGAAGAAGGGGAGGTTTTAAGGTGCGGAGAGAGGGGGAGGAGGAGGAGGGGGAGGAGGAGGAGGGTGAAGGGGAGAGGATGGGGCGTTTGGATGAGAAGAGTGGGCGGAGGGAGGAGTGTGTTGGGAGGGAAGGGGAAGGAGTGCGTGAGGGGAGTGATGGGGGGGAGTTGAAAGGGGAGGGGAGGAAAGGGGAGGAGAGGAATGGGGAGGAGGAGATGAAAGGGGAGGAGAGGAAGGAATGCAGGGCAGCAGAGAGCGGAGGTGAATGTGTGGTGCAGGGGAGGGAGGCGAGGGCGGTGGGGGAGGAGAGGGAGGAGGGGGAGGAGAGGGAGGCGGGGGAGGAGAGGGAGGAGAGGGAGGAGAGGGAGGAGAGGGAGGAGAGGGAGGTGATAGCAGCTGTTGCTGACTCGGTGGCTGCTTCTTCTGCTGCTCATGGTGCTCATGGTGCTGATGGTGCTGATGGTGCTGATGGTGCTGATGGTGCTGATGGTGCTTACACTCGAATTGGTGCTGCTGATGGTGGTGGGGTTTGGGATGCGAAAGGTAAAGAGAGCAGTCAATTCAAGTTCCAATCCAGCAGTCAACGAAACAGCGAGGCAGGTCTAGTGCGTGGTGGCAAGAATGGTGACATAGGCTTTAAGGATCGTGGATGCTTGCAGAGGGATTGTGCAATGGAGTGTGAAGGGCGGGACGATGGGAAGGGAGAGACGAGGGGCGGAGGGGGGGACGAGCAGAGGGACGAGAGGAGGGGAGATGGGAGGGGTGAAGGAGGGAACGAGGGCAGGGGAAAGGGGATGGGCGAAGGAAGGAGCGAGGGAATGGGAGAGGAGAAGGAGGGGGAGAAGAAGAAAGGAAAAGGGGAGGAGGAGGATAAGGAGGACGAGAAAGAGGAAGTGGAGAAGGGGGAGGAGAAGGGAAAGGAGAAGGAGAAGGAGAAGGAAAAAGAGGAGAAGGAGAAGGAGAAGGAGAAAGGGAAGGGGAAGAAGGAGAAGGGGAAGGGGATGGAGAAGAGGAAGGAGAAGGAGAAGGGGAAGGAGAAGGGGAAGGAGAAGGAGAAGGGGAAGGGGAAGGGAAAGGAGAAGGAGAAGGGGAAGGGGAAGGAGGAAGAAGGAGCGAGAACGACGAAAGTAGGCCGAGAAAAGTTGCAGGAGAAAGGAAAAGGGAGCTTCCAAGGAGAAGAGAGTGGAGACGTCTCAGAGGGGGATGAGGAGGAGGGAGGGGAGGATGTAGTTATGATTGAGCCCGCAGGAAGAGGGGGGAGAGGGAGGGGCGGGAGGGGAGGGAGGGGAGGGAGGGGTAGTAGAGGAAGGGGTGTGAAAGTAGACCAGGGGAGGGGGAGTCGTGGTGGTGGCGGGAGGGTGGGTGGAAGGAGGGGAAGGGGGAGGGGGAGGGGGCGAGGAGGGAGAGGAGGGCGATATGGGGGAGGGAGTGGGCGTGGGAGGGGAAGGTCGGTGGAGAGGGAGGAGGAGGAAGAGGAGGAGGAGAGTGAGGGGACGAGTGAGGAGAGTGAAGACGAGGAGGAGATTAGACAGAGGAAGGTTGGGCGTCAGGGGATGGAGGGGAAGAGGGTGGAAACTGGAGGAGACGACAAGGAGAGTGGGAGAAAGAAAGAGGAGGAGGAATGTATGGGAAGGAAGGAGGAAGAGGAGGAGGAGGAGGAGGAGGAGAAGGAAGATGATGTGGCACGGATGGGACGGAAAGAGGAGGAAGGAAAGGACGATGAAATGGGAAGCAGGAATGAGGAGAGGAACGATGAAATGGGAAGCAGGAATGAGGAGAGGAACGATGAAATGGGAAGCAGGAATGAGGAGGAGAACGGAGGGAAGGAGATGGGGGGTGGGGAGATGGAAGAGGAAGCTATGGAGGAAGGAGGAAGGGAGGGTGAGGTCAAAAGAGGTGATGATTGTGATGGTGATGGTAAAAAAGAGGAAAAGAAGGAAGAGGATGAAAGTAAGGAAGAGGAGAATGAAGGGGTGGCGAATGATCCTGGTAGGGTAAGGAGTGCGGGGAAGCTTCTGGAAAAGAGGCGGCTTGAGGAGGAGGAGGAGGGGCAGGGGAAGATGAAAGAGCAGGTGGTTGAGAGGCAGCGGCAGGAAGAGGAGCAGGACGATCATGCTGTTTCTGATGCTGCTGCTCCTGCTGCTGCTGCCGCTGATGCTGCTGCTCCTGCTGCTGCTGCCGCTGATGCTGCTGCCGCTGATGCTGCTGCCGCTGATGCTGCTGCCGCTGATGCTGATCCTTGTGCTTCTGCTGCTGCTGCTGCTGCTGCTCCTGCTGCTCCTGCGGCTGGTGATGCTTCCGCTGCTGCTGCTGCTTCTGCTGCTGCTTCCGCTGCTGCTGCTGCTTCTGCTGCTGCTTCTGCTTCTCCTGACGATGCTCATGAGGCCAATGAGGATGATAGTGACGATACAGATGACGAGGATGATGATGATGACGACGATGTGAGGGTGGTGAAGGGAGAGAGCCAGGTGAGGCGAACAAGGGACAGGGACAGGGAGAGGGAGAAAGGGCTCCCCCGCCGGGACGTCATGAAGCTCAGAGTAGTACGAGAGCTCAAGGGATTCGCAGGCAAGCAGGACGTGGGACCGGGAGGAGAGAAGCTTGGGTTTGTCCCGTATGTCTCGATGGGTATCAGCCCTCTGGCGCTGCAGGGAGAGACTGTGCGCAAGATTCATCGAATGCGGACGCCGCGTCCGTCCTTTGTGAAGTTTGTCACCCGCCACGTCATCGCGACCGCGGATAAGGGCCTGGATCTGCCCGGGCCGTTTGTGAAGCGCCACCTGGCGGGGTCCGATCGGATGGCTGTGATTGGCCCGGGCGGGCGGCGGTGGGATATGCGGTGGGGGGTGTACTCGAAGGGAGTGCCAGTGTATAGGCTGAAGGACGGGTGGGGGGGGCTGGCTGGGACGCTCGAGTTACAGGAGGGAGAGGCATTGGTTTTTGAGGTGGAAAAGCCGAATTTGCTGCGGCTGCATCTGGTGAAGTTTGGGCAAGATGTGGTGCTGAATACGAGTCCCATGGTGGTGCCACGTATGAGGGAAGTGGCGAATGCAGGTGAAGCTGCTGGTGCTGCTGCTGGTGGTGCTGCTGCTGGTGCTGCTGGTGGCAGTGGTGATGCGGCTCTAGCAGATGATGCTGCCGATGAGAACGGAAAGGGGCTGGTGGGTGGAAGAGGTGGCTTCGGGGCGAAAGAGATGGGGGTTAATGCGAGGAGTGAGCTGGCAGCGGGAGAGGGGAAGGAGATGGGGATGATTGGGAGGAAGAAGAGGAGGAGGAAGCTGCTGGGGAAGGCAGGAGGTTTTGCACATGGTCACAAAGGGGAGGTGGAGGAAGAGGAGGGGGAGGAGGGGAGTGAGGGGAAGGAAAGGCATGAGGAGGAGGAAGATGGGGGTGAGGAGGGGGGAGAGGAAACGGGGTGGAAGGATGGGTTGAGGCATGAGAGGAAGAAGGAGAGGGAGAATGAGAGGGAGGATGAGAGGGCGGGAGTGGGGGTAGGAGAACGGATGGGGAGTGCTGCAGAGACGGTGACAAGCAAAGGGGAAAAGAGATTCAAGATGAGCAGTGTTAAAGTGGGAGTGAAAAAGAAGAGACAAAAGGCACTGGGACAAGGCACAGGGGTGCCAGTCACACCTGCTCCGGGTGTCCCTCCTTCCCCAACCACTGCTGCTTCTCGCCCTGCAACCACCGCCCATGGGATTCCGCCCTCTCCTCTCGGGCCTCCATCATCCAAACCTGTCTCTGCTGCACCTGCTCCTGCTCCTGCTGCTCCCTCTCTTTCTCCTGCTCCTCCCGCTGCCCCCACTGTGTGTGCCGCGCCTCATCCTCCCTTGAAGGGGCGAGTGCGTGTGGCGCCACCAGGGGGGTGGAAGGTGGCTCGCCTCGTGCCCTCCACTCGAGCCACTCGCCCCGTGCCCTCCCCTGCTGCTCGTGCTGCTGCTGCTGCTGGTGCTGCTGGTGCTGCTCCTGCCCCTGCTGCTGCCAGTGGTGCAACTTCAGCAGCAGCAGGCGCAGGAGCAGCAGCAACGAGAACTGAAGCAGCAGCAGCAGCAGCAGCAGCAGGAGCAGCAAGAGCAATAGGGGCAACTGAGGATGGGATCATGAAAGGGCAGGACAGCGGCACGGGCGACCCGTACCTGGCCACGCTGCTGTGGGTGCAGCGAGTGTGGGCCGAGCACCAAGCAGCTTTGGTCCGAGCAATGGAAGAGCAGGAGGAGCAGCAGGAGGAAGAGGATGCGAAAGAGGCGGAAGTGAAGGCGAAAGAAAAGGCGGAAGAGGAGGTGAAGGCCGAGGGGGTGGTGGAGGGAGAGGAAACGGGGGAAAAGGAGGCAAAGGGAGGTTTGGAGAGGGGGAGAGAGGGGGGAGGAAATGGGGAAGGGCGGGATGAGGGGTGTGCGGATAAGGGGGATGATGAGAAGGAGGGGGACGGGGGAAGGAAAAGGCAGCGGAGGGAGGATGAGGTGGAGACAGACGGGCCGGAGAAGAGAGGAGTGAGTGCCCGTGGTGGTAGTGGTCTTGGCAAAGGCTCTGGTAATGGGAATGGTAGCGGGTATGGGAATGCTTATAACAAGTACAAATACAACAAGTATGGTTACGCTTACGGGTTTGGTTGGATGGGGGGTAGATTGGGTGGGAGGAAGCGGCGGAGGAGAGGCAGAGAGGAGCGGGATGAGAAAGGATCTTACAAGGTGAACTCGAGATGGCGCATCTCTCTCACTGGCGTCACCATTGTCCCTCCTCCTCCCCCCCTCGCTCACCCTAATTGGCCTGTTCCTCCTCCTCCTCCTCCTCCTCCTCACCACCTCTCTCCCTCCTTCCCCCCTTGCTCTCCTCCTCTGGCTTCTACCACTCGTCCCGTTTCCCCCGTCCCTCATGCTGCTTCTGTAGCTGCTGCTGCTGCTGCCGATGCGACTGCTGCCACTGGTGCTGCAGCCCCCTCCGCCACAGAAGCAACCCAAGGGCGGACACAGACGTCACAGCAGGAAGGGAAGCAGGCAGGGAAGAAGGCAGGGAAGGTGCCAGGGAAGCTTCCAGGGAAGCAGGGGGCAAAGGCAGCGGGAGGGAAAGGGGTGGGAGCTAAGAAAGGAGGGGCAAAGGCAGGAGGGAGCAGCAAGCAGGCAGCAGTGGGCATCGATAATGCACCCGCAGTGGCAATTGTTTCCCCTCAGGTGAACCGAGCTCCCAGTCCCTCTGCTGCTGCGGCTCCAGGTGGTTTTGCAGAAGCACCTGACGAAACACCTGATGCAACACCTGAAGGGAAACTGGGAGGAACGCCTGGCGAAACACCTGGGCCTTTTAAAATCCCTGCCAAGAAGGCTGTCAAGGCACGTGCCAAGACACAGAACAAAGCACCTGGAAAATCGCCTGGTTTGAAACCGGCCGGAGAGAGGGTGCCACGGAGGGGTATGAAGGGGCAGTGGGTGCGGGCCGGAGCAGATGTTGAGTCGAGAGGCCCGTTGGGGTCGAATGTCCGTCCGGATCTAAAAGACCAGTCAGAGTGGAGAGGCCTTTCAGAGTCTACCCAGAGGAGTAAAGATGGTGGTTTGGTGGAGGGGGGGGATGGAAGGGAAGGGGAAAGGGAAGAGGGGGAGGAATGGGACGAGGAAGGGGACAGGGAAGGGAATGGGGCAGGGGAAGGGGTGGAAGAAGGGGAGGAAGAGGAAGAGGAAGAGGAGGTGGAGGTGATTGAAGCTGGTACTGCAACCATGAAACCCACCAGTGCTCCCCCTTCCACCACCACTGGCACCACCACTGGTGGCACCGTCCCGAACACTATTACACCACTTTCCACCAATCCCACCAGCACCACACCCACCACCACCACGACCACGACCACCACGCCCCCTCCCACCAGCCCTAGCAGCAGCGCTCTCAGCAGAAAGGCTTCGCTTCGGAGCCGAGTGCGCCTGCCTGCCACCACTGAGTACCTAGGCGTCACTCTCAAAGCCCCTGGCAAGTACCAGGCGCGCATGCTGGCGCGGGATGGGACACGTCAGCGCCACGTAGGATTCTATGCCACCGCGGAGGAGGCTGCGCTGGCGTATGACGTGGCAGTGCTGCGCGTGCACGGCGCGCAGGCGAAGCTGAACTTTCCGGCGGATGAGCGGGGAGGGGAGGAGGCGTCGGGCGGGGGGGGTGGTGATGTGGCAGGTGCGGCGCCAGGTCAGCATTTGCGGAACTCGGACAGTTCGCTGTCTTCTCAAGGGAGAGCTGGAGCCGAAGCTGCGGGCGAGGGTGGGGCCGAAGCTGATGTCGAGGCTCGGAAAGGCTTGGAGAAATCAGCAGTGAATAAGAAAGAGAAAGGCAGGGAAGAGGAGGATAAGGACAGACTGACCCCATCAGAACCGCCTTCCCCAGTTGTTACCTCTTCTGCGATGCTACCTCCCCCAGTCCCCTCCTCCACAGTCAGTCGCAAGGTGAGGAAACGCCATCCCCCTGGGCCCCGCCCCTCTGCCCTGGCCCCATCTGCCTCCAAGAGCGGTGCTCAGGTGTTTTCTCAGGTGCCCCCTCAGGTGCCAGCTGGCCAGGTGTTTTCTGAGGTGCAGGTGGGGAGTGAGGGAGGTGTGGTTGGGGTGAGGGTGGTGGGTGAGGAGCTTGAAGGGAGTGCAACGGAGATGGTTGGGATGGTGGTTGGGGAGGTGACTATAACGGGGGCAATGGGGGCAGTGGGGGCAGTGGGGGTAGTAGGGGAGGTGAGGACAGAGGACGGAAAAGAGGGACAGGAGCAGGGAGAGGTTGCTACAGCCCGAGCTGCCAGGTGTCAGCAGATGATTGGGCCAGAGAGGGACACTGTGAAGAGCGGCGGGAGGGGTGAGATGATGGGAGGGTCTGGGCAGGTGGAGAGCGGTGGGGATGGGAGTGGGAGGGCTGAGAGCGGTGGTGCTGTGGACAGTGCGGTGCAGGGGGATGGAGGGAGGTGTAGGGGTAGGGTCAGGAAGAGGCAAAGGCAAGGTAGGGATGGGGTTGAGCAGTGGGAGAAGCAGCAGGGGGGTAGAGGCGTGGGGAGAGGCATGGGGCGGGGTGTGGGAAGGGGCATAGGCATAGGCATGGGCACGGGCATGGGCATGGGCACGGGCATGGGCACGGGCATGGGCATGGCAACGGGCATGGGCATGGGCACGGGCATGGGCATGGGTACGGGCATGGGCATGGGTACGGGCATGGGCATGGGTACGGGCATGGAATGGGTAAGACCACAAGAGAAGGAGGGCACAGAGGAAGAGCATGCGGCTATGCCTTGTCAGCAGCAGCAGCAGCAGCAGCAGCAGCAGCAGACAGAATCATCAGCCCCTGCATTAGCCGTTCCTCCTCTGCCCTCCTCCCCCCATCCCGCGCTCCTCTCCCTCCCCAACATGCCACCCCCATCGCGCCGTCCCTCCCCTGCCCCCGCTCCTACCACCACCACAAGTCCCCTCACTCCGCCCCCTGCACCCGCATCCTCACAGCCCCGATCCAGACCTATTTCTTCCGAACGTGTTTCTTTCGAACCTGAGGATCTCAGGTCAGGTTCCAGACCTGTAGGTTCCGAACCTGCTGGTGCGCCAGGCGATGCTGGTGGTGTGGGTGGGTTGAATAAGGGCGGTGCTCAAGGGTGTGAGAGCAGTGGTGGTGGTGGTGCTGCTGGTGGGGATGGTGGGGAGGTTGGGAGGGGTGGAGGGTGGTTGAGGGGCTTGGATTTGAATGAAGAGTGTGAGGATGCTGTTAGGGAGGCTCGGAAAGAGGGAGGGGGTGCTGGGGTGGGAGACAAAGCAGGTGAGACGGGTACACCACGTGCAGCCCTCGCAGATTCTGCTGCTGCAGAAGCAAGTGAGGAATCAGCAGCAGCAGCACCGGCTAGTTACACTGGTGCCTCTGCTGCTGCTACTACTGCTACTGCTGCTGCTGCTGGCGCGACGGCGCATGGTGCTTATGCAGGGTGGGGCGATTCAAGGAAAGAACAAGGGGTGGCAGCAGCACCAGCGACATCAGCGGCAATGGCTTTTGAGGCGCCTCAAAAGGCAGTAACAGCAGCAGCAGCGTCAATGCCCCTCTCTGGCAGCTATGGCCCGAAGCCCTGGTGGCAGGCAGGCCCTGTGGGCTCTGCACTCGCTGCCTCTGAGGGGGGAGCAACAGCACAAGCAGCAGCGGGGTCAGCGGGAGCAGCAGGGGGGGAGGCAGCGGCAAGGGGAGCAGCGGCAAGGGGGGCAGCAGGAGCAAGCGAGGTTGCGCGAGGTTTGAGGTTGGCAGCAGCTGTG